TCTTAATATAATGAGATTGAGATAATGCATACCCATCAGATGTTTTAGTAATTTTCATGCTTAATATAACATCTGCAACTCTCATATCTTTCATATCAAATCTTTTGTTCAGCATTTGCTTAGTTGATTTGATTATGTTTTGACTGCTTCCAATGGTAAGCATGTCATCCACATAAAGACAAACGATGACATACCCTTTGTCAGTGTTTTTAACATAGACGCACTTGTTATATTCGTTTATCTTAAACCCATTAGTAAGCATAACATGATCAAATTTTTCATATCATTGCTTAGGAGCTTGTTTTAATCTATAAAGAGATTTTACAAGCCGACAAACTTTCTTTTCTTGCCCTGGCACTACAACCCCTTCAAGTTGCTCTATATAGATCTCTTCATTTAAATCACCGTTTAAGAAAGCTATCTTAATATCCATTTGATGTATTTCTAAATTATACAATGCTACTATAACAATCAGCATGCATATGGATGTTATTCTTGTTACAGGAGAATATGTGTCAAAATAATCCAGACCTTCTTTTTGTCTATAACCTTTTACCACAAGTCTTGCTTTATATTTGTTTATTGAACTATCTGCTTTCATTTTTCTCTTGAATATCTATTTATATCCAAGAGGTTTAGAACCAGGTGGAAGATCCACCAATTGTCAAGTATGATTTTGCATAATAGATTCAATTTCATTATTAGCAGCCTCTTTCCACAAAGGTACTTCAGGACTTGTCGTTACTTCCTTAAAGTTTTGAGGTTCATTTTCTAACAGGTATGTCAGAAAATTTGGACTAAAGGATTTTGATGTTCTTACTCTCTTACTTTGTCTTGGTTCAACATCAGTTAAATCATGTTGGTCGAGACCATTACTAATCTCTTGTGTTTGATTGTCATTAGTCTCTTGACTTTGTGTACAATCATAAGTTCTTTTCTGTGAACTTAATTCATGTCCTTTCTTGTAAGGAAAAACATATTCAAAAAACATAGCATTCATTGACTCTATAATAATGTTTACATTTATATCAGGTATTTCTGATTTATAAGTCAGAAACCGATATGCATTACTATTCTGAACATAGCCAATAAACACACAATCCACTGTTTTTTGTTCTATCTTAATCTTTTTCGGAACAGGAACTTCTACCTTTGCTAAACACCCCCACACTTTTAAGTATTTGTAAGAAGGTGGTCGATCTTTCCACAATTCATAAGGAATGCTGTTAGTTTTCTTGTGGGGTATTCTGTTAAGAACATAATTAGCAGACAAAATTGCTTCCCCTCGCAAGTTCTGTGGTAAGCTTGAACTTAGTAACATGGGATTCATCATTTCTTTAAGGGTTTTATTCTTCCTTTCAGCAATTCCATTTTGCTGTGGAGAATAGGGTGCTGTAGTTTGGTGAAAAATGTCATGTTGTGCACAAAATTCATTTGAAGGTGCATCATATTCACCACCCCTATCACTTTTAACTATTTTAATGGTTTTACCAAGTTGATTTTCAACTTCAGTTTTGTAGAGTTTAAACATTTCAAAAGCTTTATCTTTCCTTCTAAGTAAGTATACATAACAATATCTTATGCAATTATCAATAAATGTTATGAAATACTTTTTACCTCCTCTAGTTTGAACAAATTTAATATCACATACATCAGTATGAATTAATTCTAAAGGTTTGGTTTTTCTTTCAACCGATTTAAATGGAGCCTTAGTTAGTTTCGCTTCTACACAAATTTCACATTTGTGATTAAGATCAATTTCAAATTTTGGTATATAATCCAAACCAATTAATTTACGCAAAGCATCAAAATTCACATATCCTAATCTACCATGCCATAAATTTGACTCAAGAATATAAGCAAAAGATGTGTTATTCTTATTAATAGCAAGTTTTGGTACAACCGTCATTACATTCAACTTGAAGAGACCATCACTCATGTATCCCTTACCAACATACATACCACTCTTTGTTAATACAAATTTATCAAACTCAAATACAAGCCTAAAACCATTTTTACTTAGCAAAAAAACTAGAAACTAAATTATTCCGGATGTCTGGTACATGCAGTACGTTGTTGAGGGTAAATTCCTTCCCTGACGTCATCTTCAAGATCACATTTCCTTGTCCAGCGATAGTAAAAGTAGAAAAATTTCTCATGAAAAATTGTTCACCATTTACAGCCTCATTATAAGTAGTGAATATCTTCTTGTCCGCACAAATGTGACGAGCTACCCCAATGTTAACCCACCATTTCTTGGGATTTCCAACCAAATTAACCTCAGACACTACAGCAGAGAGATTGATGTCATTTACCCCGTCAGAGATGTAATCTAATTCTGTCACATTGGTTTGATTAGTGGTCTTCTTACTTGTACTTCCGCGATCCTTCTTAGGGCGGCGGCAATCAGGAGCTCGATGTCCGATCTTACCACAATTATGGCATTTTCCTTTAAACTTCTTATTGCCATTGTTGTCGCCTTCTTTAGAACCATCTCCAACAAACTTCCTCTTTTTGTTTTGTGGTTTATACACTTGTTCAACCACATTAGCCTTGGACTCAATGGATTTTTACCATTCCTCTTTTCAGCCTTACGGTTATCTTCCTCAATTCTTAATCTTACAATCAATTCATCCATGGTCATCTCTTTGAGTTTATGTTTTAAATAATTTTTGAAATCTTTCCAAGCCAATAGTAATTTTTCCACTAATGCAGCGACTTGGAAAGACTCACTCAGAGACATATCCACAGCATGAATATCACGCAAAATTAATTGAAAATTTTGAACTTGAGAAATTACCATTTGAGAGTCTACCGTAACGAAATTCAAAAATTTACCGACAACAAATTTCTTTGTGCTGGCATCATTTGTCTTGTATTTTTTTCTTCAAAGAATCTCACAATTCTATTACTGTTTCAAAGAGTTGTAAACATTATACAGCATGTTGTCAAGGCCATTGAGGATGTAATTTCTGCACAGAAAGTCAGAACGTTTTCAAGCGTCTACAGCAGCAACAACTTGCCGATCACTTTCATCCTCTCTCAGTACTGGAGCCTCTTCACGGTTTAAGATTCAGAGTTATAAGATAAAATAACATTTTTTGTTTCCATCTGTTAAACTCGGTGCCATTAAATTTTTTTGATTTTTCTCCATAATTTATAAGAACTTGGACATAGTTTTGGATAGGAACCAGAGTCATTGTAAGAATCGGATTTGGAGTACTACTTTCAGCAGCTATAATATCTGATTATAAAAAATCAAAAAAATCAAAACACAAATTAATTTTCTACTTACTCAAACCAGAAAATAAATTATAACACAAAATAATTTTACTTTTCTAGTTACTAAAACCAGGGAAATAAATTACTACATAATAATTTTCTGTAACACTATTACACAAAATAATATTCTGAATTGTTAATGACACCAATATATTACTACTAGTTGTCAAAGAAAATAAACAGTATACTACTACTATTTGTCAAATAGTTATAACTACTATTTGTATTTTCCAATCAGAATATCACTTTGTAAAAAGCATAGAAAACAAACACAATGAAGACACCAAAAAATAGGTTTCTCTTAAGATTGTTGGACAATCTTCATTGTATTAAGAAAATTATGTTTGTGTACTTAACAACAAACATAAGAAATAAAAAAAATGAGAGAGATTGTTTGATTAGAAAAATCAAACCAGAATATAAAATAAATAAATAAAACAAATTTTTATTTTGTTACAAAAACAAAATCAAAATCTGAAACAGAAAAAATAATAAAATAAAAAAGTAAATTAATTACTTACCTTATTAATTTGTAGAACAAATTTTTGATCAAGTCCAGTGTTTAACACTGTGTCCGTAATGCTTTCAAATTGTGGACGTATATCTCCCAGGATAAAATGATCAACTATGAATAATAACAAAAAATTATTTGCACAACGAACAAACTTTGTGTTTACACTCTTTTTCACAAGAAAATAATGAAGCAAAATACAGAGAGAGCAGGCAGAATTTTGGACGAAAATTAAGTGAAAAAATCAATTGAGGGACTGCCTATTTATAGATGAAAATGGTGGCTATTTTGTTTGAATCCAACAGGTATGATACCTGTTCAGACAGATCTGGTTTAAATTTCAAACAGATAAAAACCTGTTTTAGATTTGAATTTGAACAGATTCAGATCTGTTTGGATAGATATGAAACTGTACAGAATTTCTGAAGATGTGAAAATCAAAATTTGAATTTTATTTCCAACTAAAATTTGAAATAAAAACGGACAAATTTTATTTCCAAACAAATAAAATAAATTCAAATGTTTTTGACCCAAAAAGATAAGTATTGGGTCGGACAAGCCCAACCCAACCCAACCCAACACTACGCACCCGCGCCCAGGCCTAGCCCAGTCCAGCCAGCCCGACCGACCGACCGACCGGATGAACAGCGATGGCGCGCACGTGTGTTTATTTTTGGGTTCAATGGGTCTATCCCACTTTGCCCATAACTTTTCCCTTCCACAAAATTGGAATGCCCCTTGGGGCCCTCCCTAAGTTACAAACCCAGGCTTTATAAACCCACAAAAGTTTACCTATCAAACCAATGTAGGACAAGCCTTAAACCAAACCTTAAAAATTTTCACCGAAAACTCCATTTCCATGGAGCTCACTTTGATTTCAATTTCTCATTCACCCGATAAAGGTTTTAAGCAACCAAATATATTACGTGAATCATAACGCGGCATAGAACGCGGTACCACTTAGACCCGCCAACTTTGGCATATGGGTCCTACCTAAAAAAATAGACTAAAGTTGAGGAAAAATCTGATTTTTCCAAAACTTCCAAAACCATTTCTAACAACACAAACCAAACGCAGCCTTTAATCTTGGAACTTTACTTACTTTCCTCTTATTTACATTTTGTTAAAATTTGATTGGATATATTTTTTATTTTAGATTTTTAACCTTTGGCAACATTTTTTTAAGTGAAAGGTCCAAAATAAAGCATAAGCAACATCATTCTGCATAAAAAATTGGCATAAAGTTGTAGAAAGCTACACAATCTGCAAAACAAGGAATTTAAATTGCTGTCTAATTTGGTTTTCACCCCATATTTCCTTCAACAAAGTCTTGAAGATACATGAACCAAAATTTCAAAAAATAAAAAAATAAAAAGAAGAAGAACAAACATTTTTGGTAGTTATAGATTGCTAGGCAGGATTTGCGAAGAAGACATAACTTCTCTTCTAATTTCATCTCTTCTCAATTTCCCAGTACTAGTCAATGGAAACTGCTTCTTCCATATAACAAAACTTTTTGGTATTTTAAACCTGAAAAATATAAAAAAATAAAAAATAAAGAAGAAGAAGAAGAAGAAGAAGAAGTAGAAGAAAGACATTGTATGATATAAGAGGGAAAGAATATATATATATATATATATATTTTTTTTTCTAGAAGTGCCTAATGAAATTCCAAAGAGAAAGGAAAATAATAACAAAAATGCTAGAAATACCTAATGAATTACATACCAATGCTTCGTTTGGGAAGTGTATTGGCTTTTTGGCTTTTTTGACTATTTTAGTCTCAGACTAAAAAGCCTGGTTTAGGAAAAGCTTTTGGCTTTTTTGGTTTTTTTGTGAAAGAAAGAATGTAATGATTATGGATTGGATGTGATATTGTCTTATTGGGCTAAAAAACCTATTTTATTTTTTATGGCTATTTTAGCCATAAAATCCTCAAACCCAACTTCCCAAACATATGCTAAATTATCAACTATTCACAATGAGATATGGGCCCTATGCTATACCCATTGGTAATTTAGTTTGCACATTATTAGGGGTCTGGAGAGAGACTCAGATATTAATTATCGTTTAAAAAGTTGTTATTACTCTAAAGAGGCATGCAAAAAGGCATCAAAATGTGTAAACATGCAGAAACAATGCATAAACAACCAGAAAATGAAGTATAAACAAAAATTTGTACAAAATTTCATACCAAAATGAGGTGGCAATGACTTTCTTGAAAATATGTCATACTAATGGGTTAGTGTTTCTAATATGATAAAACCCAAGGCTGCAACATCATTCCAGATAACCATTTTGTATAAATTTTCTATTTGTAGAGCACTGCTTTAAAAAACATATCTCAAGATTTTATTCTTTTTGACATTTTCCTCGCATTAACACAATCCCTGGAGTTGTCATCAGCATGATCCATCTAAAAGTTAGGAAGAAAATTACCCAGTCAAATTCATTTTTCTGCAGAATTGCCGAAGAATTTGAGTGGATAAGGTTTGGTCTTTCTTTCCAGCTAAGTGATCAGAACATGAATCAGCCCATCTCCAATTGTCCCGTATTTGCAAACAAGCAACCACCACCTCTGTCAAACGAGCGTCTGGAAGTCCAACCACTACAATGCCAGAAACTCCCAGATGTTGGGATAGGATAGCCTCCACCTGAGTCATCAAACAACAACAAAAACTTACGCTCCGTTTGTTTCCATAAAATATTCTTCTACAGAAAATGAAACTTTTTGTTGTTGTTGTTGTTGTTGTTGTTGTTGTTGTGTGTGTGTGTGTTTAGTTGCGACTTTGAAACTAAGGTGCTAGTAGTTGTATTAGTGATGAAGGTGGTGATGGAAGTAATGGTGGCGGTGGTGAGGTGGCAATGGCAACGGTGGTGATGTGGTGGCAGTAGTGGTAGTGATGGTGGTGGGGGTGACAATTATTGAGTGGTGGCATTGGTTCCACCTCAAATGTGGAAAATGTTTTCCCCAAAATATGTTTGTTTTCCATTAACCACATAAAATATTCTGTCAACTTTCCTTTTCCAATACCAAAAACCAAAAAATGATGAATTCATTATCCAGAAAAATTTTCAGCTGAAAAAAACAGAGGGAGACTTCAAATTATTTAAGCTAATATATAAATAGGATGACATATAGGATTTTCTGTAAGACATTGCAGTTCATCAAAAAAGGGGAAAAAATATACTGAAAAACTACCCAACTCAACTTCTTTTCATTCCTTTATAACCAAACCAACAGAAAATGTGAAATAACAAATTTCGTTTCCTTTATTTTTCTCCACCTGAAGTTCGACTATCAAAGGGATGTATTAAGTTCTTACACTTACCTCTTCAGGGTAAACATTCTCTCCTCCACTCTTGATTCTTCCCTTAGATCGCCCAACTAGCCATACGTTACCAAAGTCATCGATCCACCCAACGTCTCCCGTGTCAATCCAACTGTCATCACCGGCACTCAATGCCTCTAGTGGAATTTGACCCCAATATCCAAGCATTACATGGGGACCCCTAGTCAATATCCGCCCAACGTGGGAACAATCCTCTGAGCTAATCCTTAGTTCGACATGTGGTGCAGCCTTGCCAACACAAACACCCTTTGGTTGGTGAACCAAACTGGAATCAATATTACAGGTTACGTGAAATGAATGGCTCGAGTTATCGGTTGTTGGATCATAGAGGGTCATAAAGGTTAGTGAAGAACATGTCTCTGTCATTCCTTCAAAACATTGCATGGAAATATGAGCAAAGAATTGTGATAATGCTAAATTAGGCATGTTTAACATTATGTTGCAAAAAAAAAAATTTAAACATAACTGAGAAAATTGACTACATGTCAAGATAAACAAACACAATACCAAATCCACTTAAAAACATGAATTCAGGAAAGTGAATATAGGCAAACTATAAACACAACATCAAATGCCAGTAACAAATGCCTTCATTCATTATGTTCAAAATTATTTCCAATCGTTAACACATCAAGCCCAGAAAATGCAGCGATTACAACAACTTTATTTTGTGGACAAGATATGTTTCAGAAAAGGCATAAGTTTTAATCCTTGTATCAATAATTTAACAGGAAAATAGAGCATACAGTGATTGGAATGGTTAAAGTATGTTTACATCCTCAAGAACTAAGGCCATGGCTCAGTAATGTTAAGCAAAAAAAACAAAAGCACAATTGAAACCACTGCATCAAATATCCATAGTAAAAAAATGCTGCATATGCAGCTTCTTAGTTTTTGTAGCATGAAAATGTCACATATGCAAAGCAGACACTGAAATGTGCTAACAACATACCCTCCTGTAATTTAATTGCATTTTCTACTAACACATTCTATCAAAGAATGTTTTCCTATCTTTTGTTCTCACAATAAAATGGATCACATGGTTTACCTGATTAAGGAAACAATATCAGCCATTATTGCAGGGACAGTTATAAAAGAAGTCACATGGAGTTGCTCTATGGCTTTGAGTGCCGAGTTAGCTTCAAACTTGGGTATCAAGACATGGCAACCTCCTACCATTAACATGGCCATGGCAGAGGATATCCCACCAATGTGGCATAATGGAGCTGTATGCAAATAAACCTACAAAAAACCACAAAACAACAAAAGCAATTTATCCCGGAGCTATACGCATATAATGCACTTATCTATAAATTTCTTAGGTTGTGTTTGGATCATAGATTTGGGTAGAGATTTGGAAAAGGCGAGAAAAATGGAGAAAAAAGTTAGCAAGTATTTCATACACATTTCCCTCGCATTTTCCTTTCACTTCCCAAACCCCTACCCAAATCCATGATCCCCTTAGTCTTTGCTAGTATTTTTCCTGTTGTCATTCCCACTGCTTGAATTGCCATATCCTTGTGATTTGCGTAAGAAAGAAAATCATGTTTGAGAAGGAAAGGCATACATCATCCTCACCATAGTTGACAATCGCAATTTTTGCCAGCGATTGTACAATCAGAGCTGAATGTCTTATGGTAACTCCCTTTGGCCGTCCTGTGGTTCCTAAATCCAAAAACAAATAATCAAATTAAAATACTGTTTGCCTAAAAGATTTGAGAGTAAATTAGAAAGTACTCAAATAATTTCTCAAAAACTTGATGACATTTGAATGGCCAACAAATGGTGACAAACTATTCCTGTTTCTCGAAGTTCTAACAAGCAGTGCCTACTTGTAACTCTAGCAGCATTTTGACCAACCACTCATACTCTGGTGACTGGTTTTTAAATGTTGGGTGATTTCATCGGTTTAAAACTAACTTTCGTGGGCAACAATAGGTGTCAGACTGTGTTCCACCACCTCTCCTAAAACCAATTGGTGTTAGGGAAGGCTGCACTTATGCCTTTTACGGCTTTCGACATTGTGCCCACAAGCATGGTTTTAGAGCGGCATTGTATACCCGACAATCCCTCCCTCACGATGATGCTCCCACAACTTGGACGTATGACAACTTGACTCTAGTACCACTTGTTGAAGAGGATATTTCAAGTGGTGAACTCAATTTCGCTAGCTTAACTAAAAATTCTACCAACCGAATGCCCCAAAATTTAGACTCCAAAGATTTTGATCATCGAAAATTGTCAATCTAATAACACTGCATAAACCAAAGTAAAAAAGAAAAATTGCAATTTATCATCTGACATATGGAGTAGCCAAAATTACTAGTAAGCTTTTTCTTATCATGAACATATGCAATTGGTGGTGAAAATTTATACAAAATGAGAAAATTAAGAAAATAGTAAATCGGGTTCCTTATTTCACTCTCAATTCCTTACTGTCTTCGCATTTTTTTGAGAAATGTCGTGTACTTCTTTAGAAATCATTCCCACGACCATCAAAATCAGCCTTCCCCAAAGTTGCTTCCACGGACAATCTGCATACAAAAAAACAAAACAGGAAAAAAAAATGATGTTGAACTTTGTACCTGACGTGAAGCATATTATTGCGGCATTCTCAGGTGCCCAGAGGTAGTTGAATGACAGAGATCTTAAAACACGCTTTCGAAGTGTTTCAGTAGTTAATACTGCAAAACAAAGAGGAAATAACAATATCAAGACAATATGTCAATAATTCAAAGAGGAAAAAGATTCAACTCCATCAACAATATATTCCATGGTGTATGTTTATCAAGAAATCCACATACCAAATCTTTCGTTGTTGCAATCTGAAGGGGAATTCATGAAAACAAGCCATCTCAGTACCGGTATAGTACCTCTCTGGAGCTTTGAATACCAGTAACTTGAGCAGTCGTCAATCACCAACATTACCGGTTTCACAACCTCCATTGCAAACCTTGCCTCGTCCAAGCTCTATATGTTGAGATAACAAATTATTGCTAAATGTGGTATTTAACAAACAATGGCAGAATTTAAATAAGGCGGTCACATTTTTAAGAGATTCCATAATCAAACACGGTTGTTGAAGCTTATTTATGAGAATGCACAAATTTTCAAACTGTACAACTGGATTTGGTCATCCAAAGCCCAAATTGTCAAAATAGTTTTAATTTCTCAATCTTCATCATTTTGCCTAAAATTGTTTTAACTAGTCATTTGAAGAACAATTATCACTATTCAGATTTCGGCCTCAGTGCAACCTTTGATGTTAATGGACTACATAAGCTGATAAAAAAGCTTATAAGGTATAAAAGGGTGATTAGTAGGCTCAAGCTCAGGAAACCATGGGGGTATGTCATATAGCAATTGTTTCAAGTGAGTAAAGTTCAATATGGGGGGGGGGGGGGGGGGGGAACGGGGTTATCCCAGTATAAATTATCCTGCATTTGCTTCAGATTTTGTGACCCGGAATAACTTATCCCTACAGCCCTTTTATCCATCATATGGGGATTATTTTGTCCATCGGAGGTGGGACAATTTACCCTAGATAAGACTTTCATTGCAAAATGACAAAAATACCCTCCTTGGCATAACGTATCCGGGATAAATTATCCCACCTAATCTTATCTGAAAATTAAACATGGCCTATGGGTTTTGCCTATCTGATCAACAAATGGCACTCAATGCCTTGAATGTAACTAGTATCAGAAATTAACCACGATCACTCGCTCATGAAGTCTTGAATAGGCAAAACCATGAATACATAAGATAAACATGTATATCCAATTTAGTGATTTACATACATACCCATCTGTAATTGAGAGGAGCAGCTATCCCTCCAACAAATGTAACAGCCAATAACCACTCCAAAAACCAATCACTGACCCCGCCAAAAAAAATAAAAAATAAATAAGCAAACACTATATATGTCTATATATGCATAGAGAGATAGAGAGAAAGGGAATAAATTATCAAAGCTCAAAAAATTTAAACCTGATTGTCATGTTAATTGACTTATCAAACCTATTTTAGCTACACTACATCCTTATAAACAATAATAGAATTAGCCTTGTCAACTATACATTTTAGCCAAAAAAATCAAAAAATGCCGTAAGTTCTCTATTTTTCTGCAAATTTTTTTGTAAAAAATCTTTTCTAAAAAGTTAAAAACTATCAAAATAATCGGTTTTGCAAACGAGGCCTTAATTACCATTTTAGTCCCAAAATATGCTATTTGTGTTAATATAGTTCCGAATATTTAAATTGTGTGAATTTAAATCCCGCAGTAAAAATGTTTCAAAACATACATTATACATACATAGATTACATATACATATACATATAGTATAGCTAAGAATTGATGAGGAGAGGAACCTGTTGAGTGCACAGATGGCAACAATGTCACCGGGTTGGAGACCCAGATCGAGAAGCCCACGGGCGAGGCCCAATATTGCCTCCACGAACTGTTCGCCGGTTTTTCGCCGGTGGCCGGAGATTGTGACCGGCGAATTGCGGCGGAGGGTGGCTAGGCGGCTTAGGCACTGGCAAATGTGGGCGTCGGAGTGAATACCCATTTCTGTGGATTGCCCAAATTGGGCTTCTGAGAACTCTCTCTCTCTCTACGAAGAAGACATTGAAATTGAAGGAAGAGCAAACAAAGAGCTCTCTTTCGCTCTCTCTCTCTAGAGAGAGGCTCCAAAGCGCGGTTTGAAAATCTTATCTTATCTGATTGTGATTGTGTTTGTGTCGCCAATTGGCGAAATTAAGGAAAAAATTTTGTATGTCTAACTGCCTCGTGTCACCACCTTCTATCAATTATTAAGTATATGTAACTTTTATTTTTCTTTAAATACTTACCATAAATATAGTAGATTTTATTATCAAATTCAATCATAATAATAAAAAATATCATATGTCATATATCTTATCTGTATATAAAAAAATTTCAAAATTAAGGCTCCAAATTAACAGACTCGACTCGATTTGTTAGAGTTCGTTTACCGTTGGTTTCAAAGTAGGTAGGCTTTTTGATTTTTTAAGTCTAGGGTTAAAATGTCTTGTTTGGGATATGTTGTTTTGACTTTTTTTTTAGAGAGAAAAAATGTAATGATTATGAACTAAATGTGACATTTTATCTTATTAAGTTAAAAAATTTATTTTGTCTTTTTTTAATTAAAATAACTCCAAACCCAACTCAACCCAACCCAACCCAACCCAAGTTGCCAAACGAAAGCTTAAAGTCTGTTTGAATTTAATTTGTTAAATTTCTTTGTGTTTGAACTCGAATTTATTAAAATTTTGACAAATAAATCTAAATATATTGATACTGTTTGGTGCAGTTTATTATAAGCTAAAAGTTAATAATTAGAAAGCAGAAATTAAAAGCACTCATTCTCCAGCTTCTAAATAATCAGCTTTTCTCAACTTATTTAAGTTATTTCTACTTAAAAAGTTATAAACAAAAACTACACTAAACAGTCTGACCCAAATTCTTAAATTAAAATAAGTTATAATCACCTCTTATAAAGTTGGCTTGTAAATTCAATTCGCTAACTAACTCGTTTAATATTTATTATTTATATATTATATAATGTAATATATATATAAAAAAAATAAGATAAATACTTTATTTATATGTTTAAAAAATGTAAATGTAAATCATAGCTAATTAAGGATAATTTATAAATAAATTAGGCCGAGCTAAGGAAGAAGCTTCTTTGGAAGATTGGGCCGCACAACGGACCGACATAGGAGCTGTTGTAATTCGGTCTAAAAACTAACAAGCTTAGGCTAGGTGAAGTTCAAATCGAGCTATGGGCCGAGGTTTTTGGGTTTCACAAATTGGACATCGCCCTTGTTAGCTCGGTCAGAGATTGCTGCAGTTAGCTTGGTCTAAATAGACAAAACCGGTGGCATTCATTAGATCGGCTTCCAATCAAACGGTCCGAATGGCAGGGGACCGAGATAAGTCAGTTCAGTCAGGAATGTATAAACCGAGGTAAAGGGTTCAGCCATTTCACTTGGCTTGCAGTGATGAGACTCTTAGTAAGACTCTACTAAGGAGAGTTAGAGTCCTACTGAGATTATGCAAACCATCTCACTTGGTTGGTAGTGAGTAGGAGTGTGACTCCTAGGAGAACTCTGCTAAGGAGAGTAGAGTCCTGCTAGGATTGGGCAAAACCATCTCACTTGGTTAGTAGTGAGTAGGGTGTGTGATTCCTAGGAGGACTCTCATAGAGAGAGTTGGAATCCTACTAGGAATGTGCCAAGCAGAGTCTATAAAAACTCATGACCAGACCTATGTAGAGGTATCCCAATTCTTACTCTAGAATACACAGAGCTTATTGTCTATTGTCTAGTTACTGACTTAGGTATCGGAGGGGTTTCCAGCACACACCCGCCGGTTAGCTCACGTTTGTGTTTTCAGGTGACAAAGCAACGTTGTTTGGAGAAGTGCAAACTTGATCAACAAGATCATACGAGAAGAATTATTTTATGCTCATACAATTGGCGCCGTCTGTGAGAATTTCACAAAGAGCAAAACCTCTTGATCAAGTTTTCCTCTCTAGTTAAAAGCAATGGCGCACAATGAAGACTTGCCATAATCTGCTATTGATGGACAAACACCGAAATGGGGTAGGAGGCGCGAAGGTTTACCTTCTATCCCACCCATGGCAGAATTAGATCCCCGGCAAAGGAATCCGCGGAGAGAAGCAAGAGAAAGACAGGGCTCAAGTCCACACCGCTCTCAGAGCCTTGATAGACAGAGACAGAAGATGGATCCTCAGGTTCTCGAAGATCGCATAAAGGAGCAAGACGAAGTAATAAGAAGAATGGTGGCTGACATAGTGTCACGACCCAAACCCGGCCCTATGGGTTTAGCACCGTAACCGGCCAGTAATCCGAGATTACCGAAGGCCTGCTTAACAGTAGTACAGTAAAACAGAGTACAGGGCCTGGCAGAAGCCAATACAGTAAATGAATAATGTCCATTGAGCTGTGACAGTCTACATGCCAAAAAGATTTTTCGTGCATTCACATATACAAACAGTATAGTCTATACAAAATTTACAGTCACACAGTACAGGGACCTAATCCCTCGATAGCAGTACGGTAAACATTTAGTCTATACAGAACAGTAGACGGTACAGAAGGGGGAATTGTAAAACACCCCTAAGCCTTAATACGATAGGCTCGGAACCTCGCAGTGAGGCACATAGGCTGGCTTGACAAAACTGGAGTCTAACCCACGCTCCTAGCTCCGGTCTGGTGGCTGAGCACCTACATATATATATAAACAGTGAGCTAAAGCCCAGTGAATAACATAATGCGTAAAGAGGTTATGAATGAAATGTCCTTACAGTAATGAAAACAGTCCATTAAATCAGTATTTCAGTCAGAACAGTTATTCAATCATATGTGGTACATCCATTAGCATAGCAGTAAACAGTAGGTCTTAAAGACCGAACAGTAATGATGGCCATCAATCAGTAAACAGTAGTGGTTCCACGAGGGAACCGACAGAGATCTCTGTAACAGTAACAGTAACAGTAAGCAGTAGTGCTAAGGATGCCACAATACAGTTCAGAATATGTTCTAAATATGGACTCAATTCATCAGAAAATCCCTAAAAATTAAAAATAAAAATAAAAAAGAACTTAATCTCTTGCAGACCAAAATTTCCAAGGAGCACATAGCAAAATTTGTTCCAAAAATTACAAAAAGCCCTGACAGCACCATTACTATACATCTTATATATAATGCACTTGTGCATATACGCACAGACAAAAAATAAAAATAAAAATTAGATACATATAAAAACATACAAACAAAATCAAGAGAGAGAGAGAGAGAGAGAAAGAAAGAGAGAGGTGTTCCAGCAAGTGGATTTCGGGACCTCTGAACTAAAGAGGCCTCGAATTGAAGAATCTCAGGAGCAGCCTTTTCGATCTGCCATGCCTGCTTCAAGAGCTCCGCATTGGTAGTTGAAATCAATGACTCGTAGTCGGATTTTGGGATTTGTTGATTTTGTCTGATCAACAAGAAAATAAATTAGAGTAATACTTCAATCATACTGAATCAATACCTCTAATTCAACGAAACCTTATTGTTCATGAACCAGAAAAGTATATATGTAAGGTAATGTATGGTTGGTAGATATAGAGATTGAGAGAGCAAGAGATCGAGAGAGACATTTATATCGGTGTTCTTCAGACTATGATCAGCGAGAGAGAGAGAGAGAGCGAGAGCGAGGAACGTCCAGCATAGAATAACATGGTTCAAAGCTCAATTTGAGAAATCAAAGCCCAAGGGTGTTTAATTCAAATCCAATTTCAAACCATTTTCCAAGAACAATCCTCAAACATGACATGCATGATCTTAAATCATTTTCAAAGCTTTAATGCTGTTTCAAAAGAGCTCAAACCTTCAAAAACAAGATGAACTCATGGAGTATGACCAAAAGATGGACATGCATGTGAGGAAACATGGACTACAACCTCAAAACTTCAATATATGTACATGCATGCAACAATTAAGCCACAATTCAACATCTAAACCATGTTTTGGCTCTACACTCCATCAATATGACATGAACCATGCAAGAATCAACTCAAAACATGAATAAGAAGACAATGGAGCTACCTTAAGTCTTGTATTTAGGACAGGGAAGCTCAATTGTACAAACCTCCTTCAATTCTTCAAGATAAATCAACAAGAACAATTCTCTCTCTCCCTAACTCTCTTCTTGGTCGGTTAAGCACAAGAAATGAGCTGAAGCAATGTTTTGATTGAAGTGTATACAAGGCTCAACATGTGTGAAGTAGTGGCCACTAAGTGGTCTAATGGTAATTAAGTCCAACTCTTTAATTAGCTTAATTTAATCTAATTTAATCATACCTAATCAGTCTTCAGGTAAATACACCATAAAATCACATTAATCATGAGGATCATAAAACACTAATCGGTTTCTAATTCGGCCGCCGATAAGGCCTTCAATTAGCAGTTTAAACATATAAACATGAACAGATAATCATACAGTCAACAGATAAAATGCAATTCAAACAGAAGTATTCATTCCATCCAGTTTCAATTTCGGTCAGTCAGTTCAGTACTTTTAATCAGTTCAATTATCAGTCATGATCAATTCAGTTTCACGGTAATCAGCGTTTATCGGTAACTAATCAGTCATTAATCGGTAAACAGTATGAGGGTTGTTACACATAGAGATGGTGAAGCGCCAGATAAAAGGCAAAGGGGTGGCAATAAAAGAGGGACGCAAAGGCAACACACACTCTTGCCACTTAGAAGGTCGTGACAGACAAGTCACGCTATCACAAACTGAAAGAAGAAGCCTCAGGTCGAGCGATACACAATCAAAGACTTCCAGGACACGCTACTCTAGGCCTAAGAGAATGAGGACTGAAAGGGCTCAAAGGAGAGAAGAAACTCAGGCTTGCGACCCCCGCAGAGTTTCCGCACTACAACGATTGGTTCCTAGAACACATGGGAGTACCGAGATAGGAATACCAGAGTCGCACCTTGCCTATGAACCAACAGATAAAGTGTTAGCAAGGTTGCAGAGCTCGCGCGTTCGTTCCGGCAATTGAGGACGCACCATTACCCTCAGGCTTCCACCAGCCCAAATTCACTACTTATGAGGGGAAGTCGGACCCCTACATACACTTGAGCCACTTTCGCCAGGTTATGGCCGTGCATCGGTGAAACGAGGCTCTGATGTGTATCTTGTTTCCTTCTAGCCTT